CTCTGCAGTTCCTCTTCACTTTCTACCATAAGGGTGGTGTCATCTGCATATCTGAGGTTATTAATATTTCTCCCGGCAACCTTGATTCCAGCTGTGCTTCATCCATTTCGCCTGATGTACTCTGCATATAAGTTTAAATAAACAGGGTGACAATATATAGCCTTGACGTACTCCTTTCAAAATTTTGAACCAATCTGTTGTTCCATCTCCAGTTCTAACTCTTGCTTCTTGACATGCATACAGGTTTCTCAGGAGGCAGGTAAGGTGATCTGGTATTCCCATCTCTTTAAGAATTTTCCAGTTTGTTGTGATCCACACAGTCAAAGGCTTTTGTGTAGTCAGTGAAGCAGAAGTAGATGTTTTCCTGGAATTCTCTTGCTTTTTCTACGATCCAGCAGATGTTGGCAATTTGATCTTTGGTTCCTCTGCCTTTTCTAAATCTAGCTTGTACATCTGGAAGTTCTTAGTTCTCGTACTGTTGAAGCCTGGCTTGGAGAATTTTGAGCATTACTTTGCAAGCATGTGAAAGGAGTGCAGTTGTGCGGTAGTTTGAACATTCTTTGGCATTGGCCTTCTTTGGGATTGAAATGAAAACTACCTTTTCCAGTTCTGTGGCCACTGCTGAGTTTTCCAAATTTACTGGCATATTGAGTGCAGCACTTTCACAGCATCATCTTTTAGGATTTGAAATAGCTCCACTGGAATTCTGTCACCTCCACTAGCTTTGTTTGTAGTGATGCTTCCTAAAGCTCACTTGACTTCGAATTCCAGGATGTCTGGCTCTAGGTGAGTGATCACACTATCGTGGTTATCTGGGTCATTAAGATCTTTTTTGTATAGTTCTTCTGTGTAATTCTTGCCACCTCTTCTTAATACCTTCTGCTTCTGTTAGGTCCATACCATTTCTGTTCTTTATTGTGCCCATCTTTGCATGAAATGTTCCCTTGGTATCTCAAATTTTCTTGAAGAGATCTCTAGTCTTTCCCATTCTATTGTTTTCTTCTATTTCTTTGCCTTGGTCACTTAGGAAGGATTTCTTATCTCTCCTTGCTATTCTTTGGAGCTCTGCATTCAGATGGATATATCTTTCTTTCTGTTCTTTGCTTTCCCTTCTCAGCTCTTTGTAAGGCCAGGACTGTTTCCCAGAGAACCACAACTTTATTTCTACTTCTTGACTATTATGAACATTGTAGTAACTTCCTGATCTGTATATTTTCAGATACAATTCAGATTCTTCTCTGGGATTACTAGTGGAGTATTCCCGGGTAAAGAGCTATAGCTCTTTGAAAGACTGATAGACCCTGCCAGGTAGATGACGAAAACAGTGTCAAAGGGTGCTGTGTCCGCATGTTTTAAGCCTATTTGCTCGGTTGTGGCCAACTCTTTGAGACCCCGTGTACTGTAGCCCACCAAAGGCTTCTCTGTCTGTGGGATTCTCCAGGCAAGAATACTGGAGTGGGTTGCCATTTCCTTTACCAGGGGATCTTCCTGACCCAGGGATTGAACCCCCATCCCCTACACTGGCAAGCAGATTCTTTACCACTAGCACCACCTTGGAAGCCATGTCTTAACCAAAATCCAAATCATTAAACATTAAATGTATATGTAATTTTAATGGCTACATAATAGCCCATGATAATTGTTGTTGGAGTGTTTCATTGGCTTATGAAGACACACAAGAGAATATTGAGATGGAGGCTATGAAAACTGAATAGACATAATTAACCTTGCTGTAATCTACAGAGAGTCCTAAAGTGGTGTTAGGAGACACATTCCTCCAGTAATCTATTTCCAATAAAACTGGAAGGAGACAGCCTTCCAGACCCTTCTCAATACAGTCAGATGGTGGGCTGCCCAAACATTTCTTTTAAAAAATTTTTTTAAATTTATTTTTAATTGGAGGATAATTACATTACAATATTTTGTTGGTTTCTGCCATACATAAACATGAATCACCATAGGTATACATATGTCCCCTCCATCTTGAACCTCCCTCCCATATCCCATCCCATCCCACCCCTCTAGGTTGTCATGCTCAAGCATTTCTAAGAAGCTTTGTTGTTTCTGGGATCCACAGAGTTTTTAACTCTGATAGGCATTTGTTCACTGAATAAACAGTAGTCATTTAAACAAAGATTTCATGCATTGCATGAAGCATAGCTGAAATATGAGTTTGCTGTATGAAATTTTCCAGTTCTGTAAGAGAAGAGTGGAAAGCAAATGGGATGGGTGAAACTCATAAGACATGCTAATCACATTTTTCCACCTTAATGCAGAGAAGAAAATCTAATGTTTCAAGGAAGTTCCCAGGGACAGGGTGATTCCATTTCAAGTCTGGTGCCTAATTATCAGTCCTCCAGTGGGCCTATAGGTCTTTGGAGGTAGTGTCACTATAGCCCATCTCAGTGAAATTCAGATCTGTCTTTATCTAGAAAATCCCAGTATGTTTTCAATTTCAGCCTTGGTAGCTTCGATTTTCCTCTGATTTTCATTGTGCAAGGTTAAGGCCTACTTGGAAATAAGCAACATGATCAGTGTGTTCATGTCACCGTGTGAACAGTCAGCCTGCCTGTTGTCAGTGTGGGGGAGGGTCAGACATTGCTGAGCCACCGGAGAAATTTTTGTGAGGAGGTGGGTTGGAGTGAGACAGGGAAGAATCCATCAGGCTGTTGTGTTGATCCAACAAATCGTGTATCTGTTGCATCAACATCTCCATTTGTGTGAGTGTGAGTGTGTGAGTGTGTGTGAGTGTGTGTGTGGGGGGGTGTGCACACATGCACATGCTCAGTCATGTCTCACTCTTTGTAACCCCATAGACTATAGCCCATCAGGCTCCTCTGTCCACGGAATTTTTCAGGCAAGAATACTGAAATGTTTTGCCATTTCTGATTCCAGGGGATCTTTCAAACCCAGGGATCAAATCTGAGTCTCTTTGTCTCCTGCCTTGGCAGGAGGATTCCTTACCACTAGTACCACCTGGGAAGCCCACTGTCTACAAAAGGCATGACCTGTGGGGGAAGGGTTGGAGTGAGAGATAGATTGGGAGTTTGGGATTGATATATACACCCTGCTATATTTAAAATAGGTAATCAACCAGGACCTGTATAGCACAGGAAACTCTGCTTCAGTTCAGTTCAGTTGCTCAATCATGTCCAACTCTTTGTGACCCCATGGACTGCAGCACATCAGGCTTCCCTGTCCATCACCAACTCCCAGAGCCTACTCAAACTCATGTCCATCATGTTGGTGATACCATCCAACCATTTCATCCTCTGTTGTCCCTTTCTCCTCCCACCTTCAATCTTTCCCAGCATCAGGATCTTTTCTATGAGTCGATTCTTTGCATCAGGTAGCCAAAGTGTTGGAGTTTCAGCTTTAGCATCAGTCCTTCCAATGAATAGTCAGCATTGATTCCCTTTAGGATTGACTGGCTGGATCTCCTTGCAGTCCAAGGGACTCTCAAGAGTCTTTTCCAACACCACAGTTCGAAAGCATCAATTCTTTGGTGCTCAGCTTTCTTTATAGTCCAATTCTCATATCCATACATGACTATGGAAAAACCATAGCCTTGACTAGACAGACCTTTGTTGGTAAAATAATGTCTCTGCTTTTTAATATGCTGTCTAGGTTGGTCATAGCTTTTCTTCCAAGGAGCAAGCATCTTTTAATTTCATGGCTGAAGTAATCTGCTTGATACTCTGTAATAACTGAAATGGGAAAAGAAAAAGAATAGATCCATGTATATGTATAACTGAATCACTGTTGTACACCTGAAACTAACACAACACTGTTAATCAACTGTACTCCAATATGAAATTTTTTTAAAAAGGAAACTGTGAAAAAAAATTCCTCAAAAAAAATTCCTCAAAAAAAAGAAAAAAGGATGGAATTAACAAATTAAAAGACATGGCCCCTGGGGTCATCATCATTAACTACATAAGATACCTGTTTCCCTGGAGATCGTGTTCGAATAAAACCATGAAGAAAATGTAAAACCCCCAGTGTTGGTGTGTTTGTGGCGAGGCTAGAGTGTTGCCGAGAATGAGTTGTTGGGTAGCTCTGGACTGTCAGTTCCTCCAAAGCAGAGATTACTCTTGACCTCACCAAGGTTTTCTTCATGGTCAGGCAGGATTTTATTTCTGTGGTCTATCCTTGCTTACCTTTTGCAGGGATGGTCAGAGAGACAAACCCATTCACAGCAAATTTGCATGGCAGTTCTATAGAGGTTTTACGATCTCTACAGCTAGAGAAGTTTCTTCTAGTTCCAAACTTGTGGAGCCCTTGGCTGATAAAAAGTCTCTGGGATTTATGGCTCAAGACAAACTGATGTCTTCTGGGGTAAGAGAGCTTCCGATTTTTCAGCCACTTCTCGGTCTTCCCCATGGCGTGTCCACTCTGGCCTGTGGCTCTCAGCTCTCAACGCTGAGAGGGTGTGGTGGCCCTGCTCTGTGTGGTCCCAGGAGCCTGGAAGAACTTGTCACCCCTTCACTCCCTCTTGGAGAATCTGTTGCTCACTCCCAAACGCCAGGTTTACCAACAGAGGGTGGCAGCTCGGGAAAAAACCTCCCCCCTCTGACTGTCGCTCACCTTCACTTTGATTGGACCTTGGGGAGGCTCAACTTTTGGAGACTGTGTCCAGGGGAATCACAAGACCCCTCAATTTTAGAGTTAAATGAAGGTGGTGGCCTTGGTGAGCACAGACCCCTCCCCTGCACCTCACGGCCTGGTCCTGACTTCTCCACTAGCTCAGGCCCACTTCTTCACCTCCATGGCTGGCATTCACCCCTTGGCATGCTGACTCTTCGTTCCCAGAGCCCCGAGCCCTTCACTTGCTCCCGGGTGACTAGCAGGATACTTCCAGGCAGGGCTGCAGCCTTCACTGTCTAACAGTTTGGTTTGGACCTAGTGGTCAAATCACCGCCCTGGTCCACATGCATGCGTGTCATCTTCGTGACTGAGCCTGAGCTCTGACTGGTGTGTGAGCCCCCTGCCCTCCGTACCACCCACAGGCCAGCAGATAGGCAATCAGGAGGCTCAGTGGGAGAAACAAGAGAAGACTGTTGACGTTGGTTCTTGGCTGCTAAATACGGCAGATGTGGTCGGCTCAGCACCCAGCTTCCTGCACAGGGGCCTTTGGCAGCTTGGGTCCTCTTCCCATCTCTGGGCACAACTCCTTCGTCTTCATCTTGGGTGTCTGGGTGCTTCCCTGGGAGGTGTTTGAGGCTGGATCTGCCCTGGCAGCCCCTCCCTCTCCTTGGCCAGGGCCTCCATCCCTCATGCTCTGAGAGCAGACCCCCACGTCTGGACAGCAAGATGTGCACCCCATCTGTGCGCACGTAGAAGGACCTGACCCGCTGGTTCATGTGGAGTTATGGCGTGGGGGTGGTCTCTTTCTCCGCTCATCTCCCTGGGCCTTGACTGCAAAACCTGGGGATTTGTGGGGGCTTCCCTGGTAGCTCAGCTGGTAAAGAATCCGCCTGCAATGCAGGAGACCCTGATTCCTGGGTCAGGAAGATCTGCAGAAGGGATAGGCTAGCCACTCCAGTATTCTTGGACTTCTCCAGTGACTCAGATGATAAAGAATCCGCCTACAATGCAGGAGACCTGGGTTCAGTCTCTAGGTTGGGAAGATCCCCTGGGGGAGGGCATGGGAACCCACCCCAGTCTTCTTGCCTGGAGAATCCCCATGGACAGAGGAGCCGGGCGGGCTACAGTCTGTGGAGTCGCGAAGAGTCAGACATGACCGAGCAACTGAGCACACTCCATTTTACAAAGAAGAATAGTTCCTTTTGTGATCCTGGTTTCTCTGAAGCGGTGCTGAGTTTGCACCAGTCAGCGGTTCAGAGAGCTCCGCCGCCTAACCTCTGCTCTTATGGACCAAAGCCCTGGTTTCCGTGGGCGTCACGTGGCTGTGTTCCTGTCTTTTTGTTATGCAGCGGAGACTGACCTACCAGGCCGTGGGGTGGCTTCGTTAGGATGAACTCACGTGAGGCTGTGTTTGTGTTTTCTAGCAGCTGGGTTGGCAGCTATTATGTATGTGTTGTGGTCTGTGTACATGAGGCCCTATGAAAGCCGGAAGCCTTTTCCTCCCACGTGGCAGCGCTGACCTGTGACCCGATTTTAGATCCCAGCATGGGAGCGGTCAGCGCTGTGTGGGTCAGCAAGCATTTCTTTTTCTTCTTTCTTCATGTATAGCTGATGTATAATGTCATATGAGTTTCTGGTGCACAACAAAGTGATTCGGCTATACGTATATACAGATTCTTGCTCATATTCTTTTCATTTATGGTCTATCACAGATTACTGAATAGAGTTCCCTGTGCTGGATCTGAGGATTCGGTTGTTTATCCGTCCTATGTATAGTAGTTTGTATCTGCTCATCCCAAACTCCCACTCCACCCCTCCCTACCCACCTTGGTGGTCAGAGGAGTCTGTTCTCTCTGTCTGTGAGTCTGTTTCCATTTCATAGATAAGTTGATTTGTGTCCTATTTTAGATTCCATAGGTAAGTGATATCATGTGGTATTTGTCTTTCTCTGTGTGACTTACTTTGTTTGATAGGATAATTTCTAGGCCCATCCATGTTGCTGCAAGTGGCGTTTTTTCATTCTTTTTTATGGCGAGTCAGCATCATTTGACACTGACTTCGTGAGGACAGTTTGTGGCCAGTAGCAGAAAGTCTTGACACTCTGACACAGTCACGGTGGCCGACTGACCGAGGCAAGTCACATGCACCCCAGAGCCCCATCTTCTCATCTGAACAGGGAGGTATTGGTACTGAAGGTTCAGGGAAGAGAAAGGATCTGCCTGCCAAACAGGAGATGCAGGTTCGACCCCTCAGTCAAGAAGATCCCCTGGAGGAGGAAATGGCAGCCCACTCCAGTATGCTTGCCTGGAGAATCCCAGGGACAGAGGAGCCTGATGGGCTACAGTCCATGGGGTTGCACAGAGTTGGACATGACTTAGCAGATAAAGAACAACATTGATACTGAATGGGGAGAACCAGGAGAAGAGAATGTTTATGAAAGAGTTCCATAAAAGTGAAAAGTTTTAGTACTGTTCTTACTACTCACTGCTGTGACCAGCTTGTCATTCAAGCTTGCCCACTTCCAGCTGGGTACATGCCAGCCTCAAGGTGATTGTTTTTTGAATGAAGTGCTTAGTTTGTTCCCCCTCCCCCCCGCACACACACACAAGGCACATGCTAGCAATTAAAAACACAATATAGGCCAGTGTTCTCTTGAAAGCTAACGTCATGGGAAAAAGTGAAATCCTTCAACTATGATGCCAGACACTTAGGATGTCTTGGCAGTTGCTTGGCATTGCAATTTGCTTTCGAAACCTTTTGCCATTTATAAGAACAAAGTAGCCTGATAACCTTTGGTGTCCGAAAATTCAAACTAAATCAAATAGACTCTGTATATTCCCATGAAATCTAAGATTTTATGGGATGTGTGGGACATTTCACCATGATAAATGTGATATGCTGTTTCTTGTGACCTTTAGTTTTCTTTTTTTTTTTTAATGTAATTTCCTGCAATTTTATTTATTTTTTAGATTGGAGTGTAGTGCTTTACAATGTTGTGTTAATTTCTGCTGTAATACATTGAGCATCAGCTATACACATACAAATACATATCCCTCCCTAAAGAGGGCTGGCCAGGGGAATTGGGGCTCAGCTCTGACTACCCTGGAAGGATCCTGTTACTTTCTTCCCGTGGCAGAATTTGTCACTGGACCAAGGAGCGGGGTGGGTTTAGTCACTAAGTCGTGTCCGACTCTTTGAGATCTCATGGGCTGTAGCCCACCAGAGTCCTTTGTTTATGGGATTTCCCAGGCAAGAATACCGGAGTGGGTTGCCATTCCCTTCTCCAGGGGATCTTTCTGAACCAGAGAGTGAACCCACGTGTCCTGCGGCTCCTGCATTGCAGGTAGATTCTTTACTCCTGCGCCCCCAGGGATGTCCTAACAGACTGAGACGGGGCCTCAAAGATCATCCAGCACAAGGTAGCTCACCTTTTTCCATATGAAAGTTAGAGGTTCTGAAAGCAAATGGGACTCTCCCTGTTCCCAGAGCCCGGATCCCGCAGCCTGGCAGACCTGCTGACGCTTCCAGAAGTTTCCACACTTCCCTTTCTCCCTGAGACCTGAGGAGGTTGCTTCTCAGCTGAAATCCAGGCAGTGGCAAGGATGAGGCTTTCCCTGCCCCCCGCTGGCAGTCACTGCCCAGAAGTCCTGGGAAGGAGGAGGCCTGCGGCCCAGACGGCCACCCTCACCCCAGATCTGTCTTATCTCTCTGGGCGCCACACAATCTGCCCAGGACAGTCAGATAAGGGTGTCAGCATCCCGGGCTGCCGGGAACTGGGAGGGACAGGCAGCGGCAGGACACGGGCCGTCCACTTTCACTTCTGGAGCCCGCTCTGTCTGGTAGCTGCTGACATCCGACTTCCTCCCAGATAAAAGCACAGGGCTCACTCAGGACGAAGGGCGAAACGTCTGCTTATTTGAACAACTTCCCAAAGGGCTTCTCGGGTCTGGGCGGCGGGGGGCCGTGTGTGCCGACCATGGTACCTTCCCACTGGAGAGTCTCGCCCTTTACCTCTCGCACCTGCACCACCTGGGCCTTCGTTTATCCTGTGTGCTGGTCGCTTAGTCACGCCCCGCTGTTCGCGGCTCCACGGACTGTACCTGCCGGGCCCCTCTGTCCGTGGGCTTCTCCAGGCAGGAGCACTGGAGTGGGTTGCCGTTTCTTGCTGGCCAGGGACGGAGCCCATGTGTCCTGCGTCTACTGTGGTGGCAGGGGGATTCTCTGCTGAGCCCCCTGAGAAGTGCCCTCCTCACCTAACTGCTCGGCCCCTCTGTCCACAGACCTTGGCTCCTCAAAGCATAGTTCTCTCTCTTCTCACTTCCTGCCCCAACCCGTCCGCTACAGACTCTCTTCTTGTCCTAACCCTCTCCAGCCCGATGTTCCCGAAACTCTGTGGGTTAGAACCTCGAATCCCAGATCCACTATCTCAGAGAACATCGGGTGCCCCTGCAGTCACGTGTCCCGGCGCGGTGGGGAAAGGAACACTGCGAACCACATCCATCCGAGAAGGCCGCACGGGCTGGGTGGGAAGAGCACGTGACAACAGGCAGTCTGATTCCATGTTAGCTAACACACGGGAGAATGAAAGGAATGAACTTTCTGTCAAATAGATGCACGGCGGGTGGCTGATGGTGGTGGGTGGACTCAGTGCTTACAAGTCAGGGGTTAGGGTGTGGTCGTGCAGTCACGTCCGACGCTGTGACCCTGTGGACTGCAGCCCGCCAGGCTCCTCTGTCCACGGGATTCTCCAGGCAAGAACACTGGAGTGGGTTGCCATGCCCTCTTCCAAGGGGTCTTCCCACCCAGTCTGCATGACTGGGATTGGCATAGGGCTGTGTAGGGCACAGGCTCGATCAGTGACCGGTGACTAGGTCAGTAGTCAGACTGACCCTGCAGAACACCACCTAGATGCATGCATGTGCGCACACACACACACACACACACACACGATTAAGCCCACAGGTACCAAGAAAACTGGCGTGTGGTCTCCCTGGGTATTTACATGCCCAAAGAGATGGGAAATATCTCAAGGTCATAAAAGCCCAGACACAGGAGACTCTCTGACTCCTGGAGATATTATATTTACATTCCTGTAGGTCAAGGTAAGAACCCAGAGTTCTTTCCCTCCCATCTCAAGGGAGCAAAGATTTCTTTGCCTCCTTCCTAGAGGCAGAGGGAAGCGCCTACTTCTCTCCTGCACATAAGTAGGCAGAATCCTTGGTTTCCCCTCCCACATCTCTGGGGTATCATCTGCATGTGCAGGAAGTTCCCATCAGCTCTCATCACTGTGCCCTGGAGTTTGGGTCTGGGGGTGGACACTGTAGGATGGATACTCTGGCTGTTGGTCTGTGTGTATCAGCGGAGTACCTCTTCCTGGCCCTGGCTGCCTCTCCCGCAGTGCTCATGTATATAAAGCACAGAACTGGGAGTGGGCAACATCTTAGACCTTGTCCTGTTTGACAGGTGGGCCCGTATAAATGGGTGCTATGCAGGCCCAGAGAACCCTGAGTCCCTGTCTGTAGGATGTGACCGAGGACCGAGGGAGCTGGCTCAGCACATGGGGTACAGGTGGCTCCGGGTGGCCTCACCGGTGTTCTTTCTTTTACCAAAGAGACCCAGACAGCAGTAAATAGCCAGGTTTTACCAGTCATAGCTGGATTCTTTTAACGGTAAAGTACAGGCCTAATGAAATGACTCTGTCCCAAGCTGTTCATGAAAGGAGTGAAAAAATGCTGGCGTGTCCTGCTGTTTCCATTTTTGATCAGCCTCATCTGGG